GGGGGGAAATAAAGCAGTAATTAAAGTATAAACTCCTACTGATTTTAATTAATCTGTGTTACCTGTTGTTGTGTATTCCTTTATTACCAGTCAGTCTAACTTTAGCTGTAGCTGTCTTAAGAGCAGGTTATAATGTGTTCATTCCAAAAATTCTTTTCAGAACCTGCATTTATCTGATATTACTTTTACGTAGACATGCTACTTTTTTGTAACATAACGTACCAGAAATATAAAATAGTGATAAAAGACAAATGGAAATCCGTATTTAGAAGTGAAGTATTAACAACCCTCTAATTTTTTTTTTAAGCAGTGGGGCTCATTGCTACCTTTGCTCCCTTTCATTTTGGATTAGCACTTACCCTATAATGCTCAAAAGGATTCTCGTTCGCAGTTCAAATTCAGCTCAAGGATTTGTAATCCAAATAAATTTCAAAGGTTACGATATGAAGTACGTGAATTTGTAGAATAAGGACCAGGTGAAGGTGTTGATGCAAAAGTCTGTTCTCTCAACTCTTCAGTTTATCGAATTTTTTTGTGATTGTTACCGTATTTCCATGAGAGTATAAATAGAGCAGATGATATTCTGGGCTGCTGCTAAATAAATGGATGGATGGTAATTTTTTAGCCTTTAGTATGTATCTGGATATAGTATTATCTATATTTTTTTATTAAAGAAATCATGCAGAGTTTATGGCTGTGTGAGTTTAACATTTTCAGTATTTTTTTTTTAACCCTTATTTACAATTCTGTATATTTCTGGTGGCTAGTTAATCCATTTTCTATATCCACTTCCAGTATGAAGGCTATTTTCCTTGCTTTTTCTCAATAATTTTTTACTGAAATTAATACATTATGCGTTACTGTCCTTTTAAAGGAGCTACAGCAATATGCAAAATGATTTAAATGCCGAATGAAAAGCATGTTGCTTATGTTGGAGCTATACGTGGCTATTTGCCACAGACATTGCCTCCTGCCTTTGATTTTGTTCCAGTAAGCCATTGTTACTTATTTCCCAAATTTTGGTTTGGTAATAGTCTCAAGTAAGATGCGATTTCTCCCAGCCATCTCGTGTATAATGGTTCTCTGAAGATGCTGGGGAAACCCGTGTCTCTCAGAAGAAAAGCCTAATTGAGTGCGTGCAAGGATCTGCGATTAAAGTTAACAAATGTGAATGCCCTAACGACCATTTATGTCCTGGATGATAGAAGGAAAAGGATTTTCTGGATCCTATGCTTTAGAGATATGGCACATGTCAAAGCGTCTGCTACGTTTAGGGACAATATAATGTGAATTTTCCCCTTTGATCTTAATTTTGTACGAAAATTCCGTAGGACGAAGAGCATGTAGTCAGAATACTCTTTTGTATTTTAACAGAAAATTCTTAACGTGCCATTACGTTGTTTAGCAGCTTTATAGCCGGGACTTTATAGTTATGCCAACAATTTTTCTCTTTCCTCTCCGGGCTCTGAATTTTAGTGATTGGGCCATATCATTCCCTTTTGTCATCTTTTCTTCCCAATGTTGTTAACTCGGCAGTCTTGGAGGAGTAGGACTGAACAGGGCTGTCCGTACAGCTTGGAAAAGTTTTCCAGACCTTTCTGTCAAGGTAAAGATATTTTTTTCCAGGCTATGGCTGAGGGAGCCTTGGTCCATAAACAGATACGACTTGATTATCTCTTTAGTGTGGTGTATGTGCCGCTGAGTTAAGCTGTATTTTTCACTTCATCATTAGTCATATTCTTCCTGTGGCCTTTACATACATTAAAGGGAAAAATGGCTTTTCTGGCTTCTATTTTTTTGGATAATGATTGCCCTTTCCTAGTTAGTGTGTTGCTGATGTTGGCTTCTCTCTTTTTTTTTCTTTTTTTTCTAATGGAAATGCCAAAAGCATCTGTGTGTTTGATGGACAGATACCGCTATTATTCCATGCTTTACATGATTTTTCTCCACTTATAATTCATGTGTATCCTGCTTTGATAATTGTATAGGTCTGACAACATTTAAGATCAAAATTTTTGTTATGCTCCATTCTATTTCAGGGCTGTAATGGAACATTGGAATAATTTGCATTAAACTGTAGCTTGTATGTGTTGATGGGAGGTCCATAAAAAGTATAAAATTCTCAGGAAATGGAGTATGAACTATTTTTCTTCAGCTTCAAATGTTTTCTCTTCCTGTTCAGGCTATTTATCTAATGTAAGAAAATACCAGGGATTTTGCAATTAAAAAAAAAAAAATTTCTTCTTATTAGTATCTGTAGTTGTCTACTGTGCTTCTTGAAGACTATAAACAGTCTGACAATTCCTCAGATATTTTTTTTTTCCCCTTTCCCCAATTTCATCCTCCGTAATAGCAGTAGTGTAAAACTCTATGTCAATATAATGTAATTTTTGTGTGTTTTATTTTTAGCTGCTGAACGCTTTTACACAGCTCATATATCAGCTGGATAGTAGTAAAACCAAATTTCCTTTCTCCATTGTATATAACAAAGATAGTTCTGGGCGAGAAGCAAACTGGGAAAAATCTTGTTTGTAAAGTGAACAGAATCAGTACCATCTCTCGCTGGGTACATTTTCCCAATTTATACGTTTCCCCGGTTTCTCAAACGTTCAGTTTTTTTTGGAACAGGTAAATCTATATTAGGTCAGGACACTGGTCCTTCCGTAGCCTGTATCTGAGTGTATTGCTGATTGATTGTATCGGAGAAGAAACCCTGACTTGGACATAAATAACATTTTAACGTCCAATCATTTAAGCTGATTTATGTCTGAAAATGTAGAGGTTTAATTCGAATAGTGCCAGAAACGCTTATTATGTTTTTATGTTATTAATTCATATTATGAATTATTCTCTGGAAAATTTTTTTTTGTGCTTAATGTGAAAAAATGTTCCTCTGTCAGTTTTGAATTTGCAGCTCTCAAATTCATCCTGTTTGCTCTGGCTCATGTAAGAAAAAGGTGACAATTACAAGTTCTCAGTCTCCTTTTTCTTTTATTTTTTAATATTATATGCTGCTGTGAGGTTTTCTCTAATACAAATAAGTCTTTATTGTCAGTTTCTTTGGATTTTTTTTTTTTTAATCATCTAATGAGGAATAAGTGACTGAAAAGGAATCCAACCATTCCTAATGCTAAACAAACATGTCACATAATCTTTTCCATCATTTGATCAAACTCCCTTTAAGAGATAGCTGGGGTTAGAGTGCTTTGCTCTTTTCCTGTTGAGATAGATTTACTAGAATTGGGATGTATAATATTTCAGGTGAAGGCAGGCCGCTGATTTTTCCGAATATATTAAAAGGAAATTATACATCTATTGCTTTTGTTTAATTTTTGTCATTTCTTCCTTGTCTTTTCTCATTACTGCTGTGCACTGAGCTCTGCTTTTAGCTGTCCACAATGATGCTAAAACTGGTTTTACTTGAATTGTTGCTGTTGTTTGAGAATGCAGAAGGTGGAGAAGAAGTTCTCCCCGTGTCTGTATTTATCAGCATTACATTTTATCCCGTTCCGCGCTGCTGTTATCACTTCGTCTGATTCAGCCTGTCAGTCTGCTGTACCCCGAACTGTTGTGTGTACCCGTCCATTTGATGGAATGCCATCATTCAGCACCTTTCCTGGATCCCTCCTGCAGCTGTAAAACCAGTCTCCATTTTAATATGGAACGGGTAGTGGTTGCTGATACCTCTGAGAGTTGGTCTTGGCTTATTTTGTGCCTCGTTTGCTTCTTTTCTTCTTCAGGACTTTAATGAGAAGCTTTTGTCACTTCAGACAAACATCAGCTTGTCTTTCCAAGCTACTGTATCAGTGTATTTGAGGAGTTTTGAAGAGACTCGTGAGATTTGGGTGGTTTTTCAGTTGTTTTTAGACGGTCTATTAACATCATGCTTTTCCTTCTGCCCCGAACGGAGCCTCTCCTTCATCTGTATGAGCTCCATCCCTTAAATAGCAGAGCTGCTCTCTTTATCCCCGCTAAACAATTCTCTTCACCCCAACCTCATCTTATTCTCTGTTCACTGGACCTCAGTCTCCTCTTGTAAGTTGAGGCCACCAAGCCCCGAAGCTGCCAGCCCAGAGTCCTCCCCGGGCCAGTTCTTTGTGCCTCCTCCTGCCCCTTCCCACCGCAACGTGCGTGTGGCAGCCTCCCACCTGCAGTCTGGAGTCGGCAACTAGTGAGGGTTTGCAGGGAGGAAGACTGCCTTTCCAGGCATTTCCTGACTTGTGGGAATAGTTGGTTACCTTCAATATTTTTTTTTTTTCCCCGTTACAATTTCTCTGGGTATGAGTGAAGAGCCAAGCCAGGGAAGCATGTAGAAACAGAATCACTTGATAAAGCCTCTAGAAAACTCGTGGTTGCAGTAACGCTGGGGAATTCTCTTACATTCTCAGCTTTGCCAACTTTTCTTTTTCTGGAATTCATTGTAAATGATGTTTGTTTTAGGTTTCTGACCCGCTTTGGAAGTATTCCCAGTAGTTTTGGATAGCCGTCTCTTCAGACAACGAGGAAACTTATGTTTTGTTCTTTCTTTTTCTTGTTAGCCTTTTTCTTAACCTTTTTTTGAGCTCATCAGGCGTTGGGAAAGGCTAGATAAATGTCCCCAGGAAACTGGTGTCGGGCTGGAGTTAAAACAGGAAGATGGATTTGAGCTTTCAAAATGATGTGTAAGGTTACTTAATTAGTGTTTATGTGCTGAGTCCTTTGGGTATTGTTTTGATTTCGGTTTTTTAAACTGGAATTTTTCTGTATACGTTTGCATCAAGAGCAATTTGAACCTGGGGAAATGACATCTCACCGAGGAAATCTGTATTTGCCACAACTACAGTTCGCGTTCTATTTTTAATTGCAGTTGTGCTAATACCGTCCCCAAAACATGAGCAGGAACATACTGTATTGCCACTGCAGCGATGGCATTTGGCCGCGAGGCCATGAGTTGTCTTCAGGAAGAAACCTGGACACAAACTTTTCCTTCAGGGGCAGGGGGAGAAGTAACATTAAGACGTTTCAACTGGTATAAACAAACCAGCTTGCAAAGGTCGGAGCTCTATAGCTTCGTAGTTTCCTAATGTAATATAATGCCCTGCAGGAAATTCTGGTTTTATCAGTAAGTGGAAAAAATCTTTTTAAATTACGAACTCGACTATTTTTGTTAAACAAATTTGATATCCTACGTCCTCTCTGCAAGTAGAACATTGAATTAGAATTTCCGACTGCACATGTATCTCGGACAGCTAAGGAATGGGATCGTGTTTGCTGTGGGCAGCATGGCGCTTCGGGGCTGCTACTCACCTCTGCGGGCTCTTTTTGTCTTTATCAAAAAAAAAAAAAAAAAAAACCCACAAAAATTGATCAGTATCACACTAAGGTTGGTTAAGCTTTTATAGAGATGTCATAAAATAGTTAAATTATCCCCAACCAACGTCATTAGTGATTTTCAGGAGGAATTGAACGTCTCCGGTTTTAGCACTGACAATAAACACCGGTGACATATTCTATATGGAAATTCCATGTTCGTATAAATGAGGTAAGAGAGCGTTGCAACTCAGAGTACTGCAGCATCATTAACTGCCTGAATCTGTTGATAACGTAATGTTTTCCAGCACTGACAAGAGCCACGTGCACTACTTCACAATATTCACACCATTACTTCAAACAGAAGTTTGGAATCTTTTTAAGCTTCGTGTTTCTCAAATTTTTTTTCCTCCATGTTCTCAAGTCCATTTTCACCTTAATGTTGTTTTCCCGGTCAAAAATGTTTATCGTGTGTCACAAGTAGCAGGAAGACTTTTAAAACTAAAAGCTAGTCGTTGAATTGAAGTGTTTGTTTCTCGCCTCTTAATTAGTTTGAAATTTAAAAGCTGAATCTCCCTTGCAATTGAATATTTTGAAAGCAAAACATGACATTGATGCCGTGTCTGAAGCTGCCTGTTACACATGTCACTTAGGAGCTACAGGGAGCAACTTGTGTGTGATTTTTTTTTTTTTTTTTTTAAATTGTTTTACATAATAGGCACCAAATTTAAAGTTACGAGACACTGGTTTTAGTTCAGTTTTATTAAAAAATAGACTATTGTGAAAGCAGTAGACATTCTGCAAAGAAACGCAAGATAAGAAGCATATGCCACATCTTCCTAAAAAAGCTTTTTGTTAAAAATTGAACACACATAATCACATTTTTGCTTGAGATATTAATGACAATTATTAATCACACGGATATTTCTGTTTTATGGTATCCTATAGAGTGTCACAGTTTTCTAAGGCATAATTCCAGTGTGTTACCTGACCCTTTGTGACATATGTAAAACTTGTCATTCGGGATGCTTGACGCAGCTCGAGTCATTTTGCGATGTGCCCGTTAGGGATTTCCTCTCCTCCTTTTACAGTTAGTGGTCACCTTCATCAGCTGGTACCACAAGTACTTGGCAATGGTTTCCTTTACTGATTTGAATTCTTTTCCATCTGTGTTATGCTTAAGACTGCAAGGAGATATGAGGGTTTGTTTTGCGACTTGTGCTCAACGTGGCTCTGATGATGTTTTCTACACCAATCATTTCACCATTTTTAAGTTTCCTGAGGGTTTTTTCTGAATTTTGTCACTTAATGGTCTTCTAAATCAATACTAACGTCCAGTAGTTGGTCTTTCTCGCACATTGCTAACGGCTTGTTAGGGGGGTCTAACTGATTTTCAGATTAATTTGGCCGTTTCCTCAGAACATTGGCCTCATCCACCAGTTGGACAAATGCTTTCTGGAGCCAAGGTAGTAACCTTTGAGAACCCTTCCTCCAGTCATTGTTTAGGACATATCAGTTGATAATACGAAGGCATCCATGCCACATTCTCCTGTGGGGATACCAGTGTCTGGAGTAAGGAAATGTGTCTGTGGCTTCCAGTGGGTTATTGCTGAGTAGAAGAATTTTAGTCTAGCCTACCTTACAAGACGCATTCATACCCACCCGAGGGGAGTGGGGAAAGGCATTTTGAGCTGTGTGGAGCATTTCAGAGCAGGGAGAGCAGTTGTGGCAGTATTGGTGGGGCTTTATTTTTAGTGCTGGGAAGTGTGAGTTGTACCGCTGCTCGCTGCTCTCCCTTCTCCTCTGTCTGGAGCCTGGTTTAACATTTCCTCTTCCAGGGAATTATTGTTGGTGTGGTGGTGCTAGATGTTGCCACTGTGGGATTTGAATATGATAATAACTGTCAGTGGAACATCTCTTTCTCTAGTCTGTAGTGCTATACAGACCGCTCCTTGGCCAAAAAGAAGAGATCCTTTTATTTGAGAGATCCAGGTATTTTTGTTAAATATCTAAGAGACTAACTGCTGTAAGAATAGAAAATTGTATTTCTTAATGCAACCACTTGTGTAGCGTTTGAGACACACTCGAGTCTTACAGAAAAAAAGCTGCTTTAGAACTGCATCGACTCGTGGTGTTGCCTGCGTTGGGCAGCCCCTGGGAGGATGCTCGTGCTGTGCCGGCTGTGGGGCCGCGCTGCGGGGCAGGGGATCCATTAAGTTCATTAAACACTTCGTTACA